AACAACTTAATAGTTTGTTTGACAATAAACCATAAACCATTGTCATTTTCAGAATAATGTTACTAAAAAAGGAAAGTGCAGACTATAAACGGGACTATTTTGTGAATTTGTGATGAAAAGAGGGAACTGGTGGTGATAAGTTTAAAATAGATTTCAAATGTAAGATGTACTCAACTGTAATTGTTGGCGATAAATTAAGGCTACGCTAAGTAGGCTAATGACGTCATATCCCAAGAGTGTGCAAATTATGAAACATAGCAATAGTTGAAGACGAATATTATTTTTGCCTGGTGTATCTACTTTAGCAACACCCAGTGAAAAATATTTGTTTTGAGTCGGGGCAATCCCGTAGTCTACCTAATTTCCAAAAATGTGCTATACCCATTTAAACGTAGTAATGGGCGGTATACATTTTAAAATTTACATATTACGTCACTAGTATAACTTTGGCATTTGTACCACAGGCCTGTAGTCACTGAATAAACGTAATATATATATAAATGCCTCGACATACTAGTATCGCACACTAACGAACTTTTTACTTGAGCGCCATAGAGGGCGCTATATGACAGAAAGGTACACTGCAGTTGACTGTCTCCGCAGTTTTGCTGCCTTTTTACGATATTGTATAACGTAGCTCTGGACCGGAATGAGTTCCTCTCGCATCCAACCTGACATTAATGTTATACCCCTTTTCTTTTTTCAAATGTTCTTTAGGGTTACAAACAATTTTGAGAGGGGTTCAGTGTTTTAGAAATAATTTTGGAGGGGATAAATCATTTTTTTTTAATATTATGTTTCAGCACTGGTGTAGTGCTTTAATGCGCTATAGGGAGTGCATATCTGTGTATGCAATGACATTATTGCTAATATCGTGTGTGTGTGTGTATGTAAACAGATTGCCATTTACAGTGATGACCGCCGTGTAACGGGAGGGCATATTTGTGGTAAATGTCCGAGTCCCAAATATACTCATAAATGTTACGGTGAACGTTTATCAAGAACACGTCTAATATATTTTGGACTCACAGCTGTCTTCTGTATTTTACCTGACGTCATTTATTTGTTTAAAAATTCATCATTATCTTCCAGGTCCGTGGTGTCGTCCCAATTCTCTCCGTCTTTTGCAAGAAAAGCCTATCCATGTTTCGATGAACCGGGATTCAAAGCGGTTTTCCAGGCCTCGATCACGTTCCCAGACCCATACAGGGCGCTGTTTTGCACACCGATGCAGTCTGCGGAGGACCTACCCGACTCGTGGAAAAAAGAAGTGTACGAAGAAACGCCCCCTATGGCAACTTATCTGACCACGTTCGTTTTAGTCAACGATGATTATCAATACAAGGAACGAGTGAAAGCAGGTGGTTATACGGTGAGTGGTGAAATGAAAGGAGACATTATTACTTCTGCCGGGGTGTCTCATTTTTAATTCGGAATAGAAGAACTAAGGGCAAACAAAGATAAACTACAAATTCGCATTCAATCATGACCAGCGCAAACGCATTAGCCATTGAGAGAGTATCAGGGGAAAATCTCTTCTTTCCACGGGGTCTCCACACTTGTCAGGGGGGGGGAACTCGTCTCGTCTCTCTATCTCGTCCCCTTGAGGTACGGGATCGGGAAAGTCACTTTAACTTTACAGTCAAATAAGGCACACACAACGAAATACGTTTCAGCTCTCGTCTTAGTCGATCTATCGAGCACTCTACCAGACACAGCGCCCTGGGGAAAAGTCCCCAAGACTCTCGCAAGGCTGACCCAAGACTCGCCCAAGACTGGACTCTCTCAAGGCTCGCCCCTGGACTGGACTCTCTCTCAGACTGGACTCGACTGCCCAAGGCTGCGTCTGTCGTGGAGTATTCGCCAAGACCAACTCAAACTCTCTTTATTCATTTTCAAAACTCTAACCAATTACAAAGCAGTAAAAAGACTCTAAGGCGTAAACTTCAATCATAAAGCCAATCACACTAAGTACTGAATACGTCATATCTTTTGATTAATCGTTCACTACATTAATAACTATGAATATAAACTGTCAGAATGAGTAGTCTAAAAAGCGGTGGTTATCTGGTAATTAGTTCCAAATCACTGAGACAAGTTCCGTCCAAAACTTCAAATAGGCCTACACGATGACAGACATAACACAGCAATTCGCTAATAATCAGCTAATTAAGTCGGTTAACAGATACGCGAAAACAAATTCATGACAAGAGTGTGAAATCGACCAAATATGATATTTGCAATCCCCGGGGACGGAGTACGTCACAAGACGTTCCACGTTGCTAAGACGCGCACCACTGTACCATGCATTT